CAGTTTTTTGGAAAAACCCAACATGTGAAGCACCAGGATGGAGAGAGCAAAAGCTTAAGCACTTACAGCAAACAAATAGGACAAACATTGCTGAAGGCAAACAAATCAAACACTATGTCAAGAGTTCAACCGTCCCTGATTCATAAATTCAGAGACTTCCTCACCTGTTCACTGTTCTCTGGTCTGTCTCCGGGCTCAGACGGTTGCTTGCAGGCCCTCTTCTTTCTGGTGAGGTGCATTCAAATAGAAAAGTAAACCATATTGTTGTTTGTGAGGGTACAATGCATTAATCATGAACAAGTATTTGCTGAAAAAGAACTGCTCACATGATCCATATGACGACAAAGATGAGTATGATAATGAGGAAAATAGCAGGAACTGTCACAGCAGTCGTCAGTTTCCATCCTCCTGCTGAAACAGACAGAGACAGAAAGTTAACCTTACAAGTAAAAACACGTCATGAACACATTCTTACAACTTATTGTATTTTCTTTTGGTGAAATTGAAAACGAAATAAGACCCAAACGAAGGACAAACACCCTGTTACTGTTAAAAACAGACTACGATACTCACTTTTGACATTTATCAAAAACATTATTGTGACAAAGACTTAAAAATGTAACGTTTAGTTCAGCATCTCAAAACTACTCAACCAGGCATGCAACAGGAGGGAACTTCATTTAACTAAAGCAAGAACCAACTCAATTAAACAAACAGAACTAAGAAAACAAGAAAACTAAATTCAAATCTTTATTAAAGCAGTATCTTTTGACCGAGTAAATTCATCTATTGCCATCCAACAAGCTATACATTTTATTTGATTTATGTTCCTCCTGTAACTCTTTGATTGTTCTATTTGCTTATTGTTTATGTGTGTGTATGTTTAGACAGATGCATTTTGCAGGTACATGTATATATATTCTTTAACTCATCAGTAGATTGTGTACAGAGGAACTGAACGGGTTCAAATGTCACTGCCATGGATTGAACAATCGTATGATCATAATTTCCTAGAAGCTGTCCTCACCCTGTCATTGTGTTCATGTTTTGTCTTGCTGTTAGTCCTGTAATGTTATGTGTTAGGATGAAAGCTGTGTATTGAATGTTGTTTATGTTAATGAGTGTTATGTTGGTTTTAAGTTGTAAGATGACACAGTCACACTGTAATGGGTGTTGTGGACCTCAGGAAGAAAAGCTGCAGCATTGCTGTAATCCAGGTCCGCCTTCCCCTCGTGCCTCAGTGTTGCAGAGGTACTGTCAGCCTAACCTTAACCTGATATCCTAAGAAACTAAACTGAACCCCTCTCGGAGTCTCTGGAAGGCGTCCTGGGAAGAATTCAATCGAGGAAGTCTTTAGTTATACCAAGAGACTGACTAATGGAGAACCTTTACGGAGGTCTATTGGGTGGCCTTCCCGACTGAATCAGAGTGTTGTTATTCCTTTAGACCGCTGTTCCTGTCATAGAGTCATATGACCTGTGAAACAGTGTGGGTGAAGCTTACCTTCCAAAACAATCAGATGTACAGTGGAGTTATGACGTCCTCTGGTATTTTGGGCGATACAAATATAATGCCCACTGTGTTCAGGACTTGTGTTGTTTATGTTAAAAATCTGTCCTGAAGCTGTTGGTGAGTCTTCATCCTCCTTGTACCAGGTGTAATTAGCTGCTGGGTTAGCATCACTGCTACAGGTCAGAGTCACTGAACTGCCCTCCACTATCTCAGCAGAGGGACTCACTGACACAGAGGGAAGCTTTGGAGCATCTGGAGAAGATGTGTTAGCAGTGATTATTCTATGTTGAGGTATGCTACCACCATAGCACAGAGTAATTAAATCATAAAGTGTGAATAACTTTGTGTAGCAACATTTTAGCTGTTGATGGTCTGAAACATATTTCACAAAACTCAAATTTTACCTCAGCTACAGATTGTAGCTTAGTGTGAATGAAATTCAAGAGACGGGAGAGATAAAAACTGTTTGTCATTTTTCACTCACATTTCACATCAGAGATAAAGTGTTCAGATGTTCTCCTCCCCAGATCGTTCTCAGCCGCACAGTAAAACTCTCCAGAGTCAGACGACTGGACGGAGCTGAAGACGAGCTCTGGTCCTTTACTGAGAGGTTGAAAGTCTGGGTTCCCATTCTTCTTGTACCAGGTATAATTAGCTGCTGGTTAGCATCACTGCTACAGGTCAGAGTCACAGTACTGTTCTCCACTATCTCAGCAGAGGGACTCACTGACACAGAGGGAAGCTTTGGAGCATCTGAGGAAGACATCAGGAGACATTACTCAAAGATAAGAACATTTGATCATAGATACATGTTCATTTTTATCTAGATGTCTTTATGTTCCTTTTTGATTCATCTTTCTGTCACAGTGACTGTAAAGTGCTGACCATGGAGCCTGATTTTACTTCTTTTTTATTTTGTCTTGTCATCAATTCTGTGCAGTCTATGTAACAAACTGTTAAACAAAGGCCATGCAATTCCACTTTATCTTGAGGAGTCTCTTTCTAAAACATTGAATATGTGTTAATCGTTTTAGCTTTTGCTTCATCACTGATATCTTCACGAGACTGAAGCTTAATCTTTGGTTGCTTTTGTACTCAGATTCTGTTTTAACTCTGTTGTGAAAATTGTTACCGAGCAGTTTAATATTACTCATTTGTAAACAGAGTTAAAGGAGCAGTATGTAACTCTGACCCCTAGTGTTTAAAATGGGTACTGCAGTCCAAATTCTAAACATTGAGCTGTCTCCCCCCCCCCCCTCCTCTCTAGAGTGGATGCTCACTCAGGTCACCATGTGGTGGACTCTGAAGCTTCAGTGTTTATCCAGCTCTGCATGGGTCTGTAAACCTTTCTGTGTTCTAACCTCTCTCCATTTTTCAAAAGCATCTCCAATATTGATCCTAGTTTGAGCACGTTTCTGCTCGTGGAGCTTATTAGAAACATTTCCGTTCCACACCACTTCAACATCGCTTGTTTCCTCAATGTCTGATGATATACTGAGGTCAGTTTATAATTTAATTCAGGAAATATTTTACACATTGGACTTTTAAATCTATAAGATTCCAGCAGGGTTTTAAGGGAACTTAAAGTGTAAGTGTGCTGTGGCGTTAGTCTTTAAGTGTGTTTTGTGATTTAGTCAAGTTTACTCACACACTGAAGGAGAGGGGAATCGATCATGTCCGTTTAAGGCACAGGAGATTTCATCCTCAAGATAAAACCAGCCTTTATAGGTAGAAGTCACAGCTCTGGTTATTTTCTGTTTGTTCCTGAACCAGACGTATGAGAGACGACCGACTTCACTGCAGCTGCTGTGACACGTCATCTCCACCTCAATGGAATGCTGATCGGCTCTTATCCTTTTAACCTGAACCTGTAACGCTGGATATGGAGGAAAAAAAGTGAATTGTCTCTGTTCTAAAAAGAGAGAGATTAGATTTAGATGCACATCATTTGAACTTCCACAATATCTAGAAGTCAAAGCAAGAAAACTAAGAGTCTGTGACCACACAGCCTTTATTCTGACAGAAGAGCTCCAACAGAGAACTTGGATTAAAATGCCTTTTTTTGGTCTGACTCAGTCAGCGCACACAAATTAGGCGTCTTTTCTATAATAATAATAATAATAATAACTTTATTTATATAGCACCTTCAAAAACACAGGTTTAAAAAGTCCTGTGACAAACAGCAAAGGCAAGAACAAAGCAAACTAAAACAAACACAGAAGAACATAAACAACAGCAAGAATATAATGATCATTTCTGTCTGACATACTTTACAGCTTGGTGTAAAACCGAGCCTAAACAAGCTTCCCCTCTTCAGATTGTCTTTAGGTAACGTTTGTTAAGAATTAGGGCTCTTCAAATAAAAATTGGTTTCCAAAGAAAAGAAAAGGACAAAAGCTTCTACCTGAAGAGTTCAAAGATTTCAAACTAAAAAACTCAGAGAAGCTGCTAAAAAGTTGGATTGCTCTAAATCGTTGGTTCTCAACTGGTCTCACCTCAGGACCGAATATCAACTATGAGGAAGTGTAAACCAAATCATCTGATATTTGTCAACCAATGAGATGTATTTAAATGTTGTGCAGTTTGGACCTCAGATGGTACAAAACATGTTTAAAGCACTCATAGACTTTTTGGCACACTTTATGTTTCCAAACACAAATTCACAACCCACTGAAAACGGCTCTGCGACCCACTTTGTGGTCCCGACCCACCAGTTGAGAACCACTGCTCTAAAGTAAAAGACGCTGAGTGGTGACATTCATCACAAAGGCTCTCTTATCATTAACACACAAGCATGACCTGTTTGTTCATATAAAACAGTGAGTACAAACTGATAGTGATGAGTTCAGGTTCTGTGTTTGTGTGTCTCCATGGCTCTGCGTTCATTAGTACCTGTGACAGTCAGAGTTGTTCCAGGTAAACTGCTCCTCCATTCAAAGCTTCTTGTTGTAAAGTTGAAACGATGCTGGGCTGAATCGCTCTCTCTCAGGTCAGAGATTCTCAGAGTGGAGCGTCCTCTCTCTCTTTCAGAGACCTGAACACGATTTGACTGATACCAATGCTGACTATGTTCAGGACTGAACCAGAACTTTGAAGTGACCGCTTCATGACCGTTGTAAGTACAATAAATGTCCACTGATGAGCCTTTGGGTGCACAGATGGTTCTGACATCGTACTTCACTCTGTTACAGGTTTCACCACGAACACCTGGAAAATTAAACAAATCATTTAAAACAGAGTAAAAACTCACAAGAGAAAAAAAACAAGTAGTTACACGTCTCCACCACCAGATGTTGTTTTGTTCGAAGCAGATTGTGAAGTTAACTCACACACTGGAGGAGAGGGGAAATCCTGGTGTTCCTGTAAAGCACAGGAATAGCTGTCTGCATATTCAAAGTAGTCTGAGTAAGTCGAGGATGTTTTTCTGGGGATTTTCTCTCCATTCTTGAACCAAATGTAGGAGGAATGTGGAGGGAGAGTACAACTGCTGACACACGTCAGATCTGCCCAAGAAGAAGAAGAATATCTAGATGTGCCCACATGAAGATCTGGATGTGTGGAGAGAGAACAGAGAGGAAATTTCACACTGTCTATATTCATATGCACAAATATAAAAGAAGACATTGATATTGTTGTTTTATTGTTTTTAAAATAATCAACAAATGAATGAAAACATTACCTGTGAGAGACAAAGTGACTCCGGGATCACCAGTATAACTTCCATCTTGATGGTTTGTTATGAACCTGAACTTGTAAACAGCTGAGTCACTATTTCCCACATTTGTGATTGTCAGAGTGCAGTCCTTCGATTTAGAGCTGTAGGTCACACGACCTGTGTACTGTGAGTCTGTTTGCAGATCTACAGGTTCTCCATCCTGGACTTTAGTAAACCAGAAGGACTTCTGAACTGTAGTAGTAGATGGGTAGCTGTAGGTGCACCTTAGTACGACTGTTGATCCTCTTAAGGCACAGACTTCAGTAGAGGAGTAAGTCACTCTCCAGCCAGCCTGACCCTGAATCACTGTAAAATAGAGCACATCAAGAACCACAGTTACAGTAAGAGCAGCATCATGAGTCAAACCTTCATTCATAGTGGAGGTGCTTCAACTAGTACGACTACACCTGATGTCAGAGTGAGACAAAGCTAGCAGCTATCCTAATAAAGTAGAAAAAGTCTCTTTGTGCAGAAGTTACTATTTACAGTCTGCCTAACATGATTCTTCATGCTGCTGTGGTGGTCGTGAAAGGTGAACAAACCTACCCATAATTCTCTGAGATACTGGCTAATTTACCTGGTTTAATTACAAATAAGACTGTTTCCTGTTTTTCTATAAGTTGCACAAAAAACAAGTGAACCCAGACCCCCCTTTTCAAGTGATCCGATATGATTGTTTGGTCTGCACCAGGGTTTGATTGACAGCTTTCACACCAGCACAAACTTGCTACAGACTCAAGATATTTTAACTGAACCAAACAGGCTAGATGTGAAAACGCCCAAAGAGGCTCTTCACACATTTCATTAACATCCGTCTTTGTTGATCTGATGACAAGTGGATAGCCTTAATGCTCGGTGTGAACGCGCCCCAATGCCTCCTGAGGATGGGCTGAGTTCTGACAGCTCGGACCACATACAGACGTGGTGTGGCATGCATTTGTTCACATTGGATTGATAGTGTAAACACTCATGCGTCCACTGCAGCATTTAGGACCGCCCACTCAACTTAAAACCTGGGAGAACAACAGATTCTGTCCATGCAAAGTTTGAACGCCTGTACTAAGGTATTGTCCACTTGTTATAAGATCACCCAGGGATGACAATGCAAGGTGTGAACACAATCTTAGACTGTTCAAACATCATTTGTCAATACTACTCAACCACCGAACAGACAGCAGAACACTTCATATACCCAAATGGTCATGCATGTACAGACTCTGCATTAATATACAGATATCTGTTATTAATAGAGGTTACTGCAAAAGGGAAAAGAGGCGGAGCAACAGTTGAAGACGTACACCTGATCTCTATTAAAGACGATAAAGACATGATATAGAGGGTGCAGCCAGGGGTCTCAGTGTCGAGAACATTTGTGTTTAAAACTGTTTTGTTTGACCAGGAGGTAAAATAAATAAATATTAGAAGAGTGGA